ATCATACCTCAGTCTAACCCAGCAATGTTGCTTTGTTCAGTTAAATCTATTTTGAAAATAAAATGGTTATTTGAGTTGGTAAAATATTTTGAATAACTAACCTAACCTTGAAAAACCAGCAAATGCATTATTACTAATTTCGTTCCTCTTTCCTCAAACTTTTCATATGTCTTCATCTTTCTACAATAGATCTACAAGCAAAAAAACCTAAAACCCACAACAAAACCAAAACACCCAAAACAGGGTAGACCAGCAGTACCTCCTTGTCCCTTGTGCACCTCTCTGTCCCAACTCCATCTATCTGCATCACCAAAGAACTGTAAAAGCCTTACAAGTTTTATTCTCTGCCGCTTGGATTTGCCTGCAGCCTGTCCCAGTGCTAACATTATTGGATTAGAAGCTATGAAAAAGCTCTGGTGACACATTTATATTAAATGGCTGCTTGCTTCTCTGAGTGAAGGGTCTGGAAGAACCACATGCTTCAGCAAACTGCATTTTTTCCTGAGCATATTCTTTAAAGTCTTATACTTGTAACAAAAGAATTACACTATTTTCTAACTATAAGAAACCAGGAACACCACCACTGTCTATGTTTTTTAGGCAGACACAAACCCTTGTTTTCTAAATTGGTTTTTTAGAGCTCTGAACACAGTCACTAGACACTCTCTAAACTGGTTCACACATTAGTATTTTTTTAAATAAATGTTATACTTATAACTTTACCTGAGGCAATAATAGTGCAAGGAGACACATAACTTTAAAATGGAGCTGGTGAGAGCCTAAAGATTTTTTAAGACATGTTTTAAATTATATTTAAATCACTGTCTGGTAAAGACTCAATGGTTTCAGATAAAGATAGGTTAAATATTTATGCAGGAGGAGACTTGAAGTTAAAACAGCAGTCTGTCTCAAAACGGGAAAATAATAATCTAAGCACAAAAGGGACTACCAAAAAGTGCAAGCTGGACATGTCACTTCTGCACATAAGCCTCTAAGCAGGCTCATCCCAGATCCACAACAAACGGCCTGACACACTCCCAGCACAGCAGCGCACAGAGCCAAGAACCAGAGGCAACAGCTCCACCGCACTAACACTGTTAACTATTAACCGCGCAATGCAAACCCTGTAAACTTAGACCTATCTAAAAAAAATACTTTAAAATTTAAAAAAAACCCACACCATTTATTTAAACCTCTCGTTGAAACATCTTTGTAAAGTATACTGATTTACAAAATCTGTACAATTGTGTACACCATTTAACATACGTATGCATTTTGGTATATTCCATTTTGACAAACCGTTACAACATAAAAATCCTTATTAAATACCAAAATAAAAACCTTTTAATCCCTTACCCGTTTCTAACTCTTAATTCTAAGACCAAGGAAAAGGCATCAAGGGCACTGAAGGAATTAATTTCCAGCTTTTCATCCCTCCCTGACACCATATACCTACATATAGGCCTGAAGCCCTAAAGACAAAAAGTTTAAGGGAACAGATGCCCACAGATCAACAATCAACCTGATGGAGAAGTTCAGTACAACTGAACAAACACTGTGTGAAAACTTTAAATAAAAACAAAAATTATTCTTGCTGAGCAGAACAACCTATTGTCCAAACCAAAAGCTGAGGTGGCTGCTGCCACAGCAAATTTAGGAGCTGAATCAGGGGGTGAACAAAAAGCTGCAGAAGTTTTCAGACATAAAAGGACAAGATTACAGGACACAACACAGCAAATTGTCTTGTTTGAAGAATGCCATCCTGTTAGTTAAGCACAGACTCTTCAGAAGCGCAGAACTGCAGCAGCAGTGTGGACATGGCCACCCTCAGCTCCATTCCACATCACCTTCCGCTTAGGAGGATTTTTGTTCATACATCCACCCATAAAACCCTGAACTGAGAACAGCATTACTCGACAACCCAGAATCCCTGAATTATAGGAGTGGAATGTCCCTCTGCAGCTCCCAGCCCAGCCATGCCCAGGCAGGGTGCCCTGGTGCATCCCATAGGATGGATGGCTCCACACAGGGACACTCCAGGCCCTCCCTGGGCAGCTGTTGCAGGGCTCTGCTGTCCCTCCATGCACACAAGTTCTCCCTCCTGCTGCCCTGCCCCTCGCTGCCCGCCCTTTGATGGCCGCTGCTGCTGCTGCTGGCACTGGCAGCACCGAGCAGAGCCCGGCCCGTGCTCTGGCAGCCCCTGCAGATGTTGGGGGGCATCGATGGCATCCCTGGCAGCGTTCCCTTCTGCAGCCTGCCCAGCCCAGCTCCCGCAGCCTCTGCCCAGCACACAGATGCTGCCCAGCACAAAAATCCTCTCTGGGGCCTCCCCTGGACCCTCCAGTAGAATTGTCTTTATTCTGCTGTGAAGCCCAGACGTGGGCACAGCACACTGGAGGCAGAACAGACCAGCTCTGGTTCCCGGCACCGGCAGTACCAGCAGCCAGCCCCGCCGGGAGAAACGGGCCGGGAAGACCCAACCCACCCGCACCTGCCAGCCGGGACAGAAAATGGCTCTGGAGAACGGGACCAGGCCCGGCAGAGCTCTCGGTGCTCGGCGGAAACCACGGCTCGCTCACCAGCCGCTCCTCTGCTTTGCATTATTAACCAGCCGAGGTTCGCATCACACCTCGCCGGCCACAGAGCACCGACAGCTCGGGCTCTGCCAGCCGGCTGGGGCCTCGGCCGTGCTCCCCACAAGGTGTCAGGGACCATTCGCTGCTCGTATTGACACACAGACTCAAAATGATTTACACTCCGTAAGTGTAGGGTGTACGATTGTCTGTTCCACTCTATATACCACATATGTATCCTATAAAATCTATAAAATAATCTCGTCTATTTTACTTCATATACCATATATATTCTCCATATACCCTACATAGTACTCTTTGTAC